TAACTCCTAGAGCCTTTTCTTATCCTAGCTCAAATCTTTTCTAAAGCAAGCGCTCTCCTAAATAAATTGCCCTAAATTAATAGCAAGTTATTGCATTTATCTATGCTGTCACTCACCAATTCATCCTGTCTCAACCACTCCCTACTGGAATGACTTATCTTTTTTCTTCATTTTCTCTTACCACTTATTAGGCAATTACTATGTCCAGGTACTATGTTAACACTTGTTATGAATTATCTCATGTAAATCTTAAAATATCCTGTTGCATGCATAAACTCAGAGAGATTAAGTAAACTGCAAGTTCATGCAGGTAGAAAGTGGCAGAGTTCATATGTTAACACAAATCTTATTCAACCTACAGCTTATATACTTAATTATTGCCAAATCTTGCATCTTTAGTCTTTCAAAATCCATCTTGAGGCAACTCTACATTCTGAATATGTATGTATAGGTTGTTGTACAAACCATTATTATTGCATGGATTACCCAGTATAATGATTATTTATATGTAGTTTCTTGCTATACCTTGAGCAGTCCAAGTATTGCTACAACATATAAAATGTGCTCAGTAAATGTTTTTTGAATGAGTAAATGGAATTGATGTAGTCAGAGTACAATGTTCTATTTTGCAAATCCTTACATGGTTTTTTAAAATACTTCACATATATATGTATGGGTGACTATAATGTAGCAATAGATATATATAAATATAATGATATCCATGACAAGTTTCATAAGAGCAGAAACTTTATTTCCACCTTAGCTTCTAGAAACTTCTCTCATAGCATTATTTGTTTTTAAATTTCCAGCAACTAAGGGGTGTACAAACATGTCGGGAAATAAAGCAATTATTCTAGACAAATCATATGTATTTATATATCATATATCTCATCAATAAAATCACACATTACAGCCTTTGCTAAGTACTGCCCCATAACTAAAGATTATGTTTGGGGACATTCCTCAAAGTGATCAAAGCCATGTATGCATACTCAGTATGGCCATAGCCATACTGAGTGGTTCAGAGACAGGCCCTGAAAAGCAACATCCACCCAAGCCTCCTTCAGCTTGTCAAGTCTAAGTTTTGTTTGTTTGTTTGTTTGTTTTTGTTTTATTTCCAAGTGCCAACAACTACTTCTTAGCACAGTTAACTCTGGATTCTGAGATCTGCCTGTCTTCACTTGAGTCCCAGGAGCTGTGGGTCTCTTCTCATTTGTTTACAAGTGACAGGGGTTCGGGTAACCACTGTGTTCATATTCATAATCATACAAACTAATGAGGCATACAACCCTATTAAGTTTAAAGTGTAGAGGTGAGGGAGGGTATCATTCTAGTGCTTAATGTAGCCATACAAGGAGAGATCGATAAACAATAAAACTGTCACACTTCTCACTAGGGAAAGTATTTCATGTATAGCTATTCAGAAAGCACAGTTATGCCCACGTTTCGGTATAATTACTGGGGCTAAAATTTCTATTCAGTTTGAATCTCAATCTGTACATTATAGTTCTGGCTAAAAGGAAAAGTCTTTTAAAATATCTCTGGGTCCCATTATTATAGATGCATGGAGTGTTAAAAAAAATTGCATCCAAGAGGACACTGAGCAAATAGTTATAGAAGCCATTTTCAAAGCAATATGTAACTGGTGACAGGCACTGGCAATGCAATCTGGAGAGAGAAGCCTTCTTAGGAAAACCAACGATAAAAGCTCTACACTTACAATGAACCTGGGGCAAATGCACAGCACAAAGAGTTTTTTGAAACAGTAAGAAAGCTCAATTATAAGGATACAATTATTCCAGAACATAACACCAAGGGACAAGGATAGGGCACTGGGGAGGAGAAGGTAAGAAAGAATCAACTGAACTTGAAAAAGGCACAAAGGTAACAAAGGCTATCCATTTATTATGAATGTAAGTATGTATTAATTTATTTATAACCTACTTCAGTCCGTGGAAAATTTGAGACAGACAAGACATTCTCTTAGACACATGAGGCTAAGATAGTTTTTGTTTGCTGAGAGGAAAGGAAATGAAAATGAATATTAGGACTACTTTATATATCATATGTAGCTTTTTGTAATATAAATATGCTTATGCTAACTATATAGCTAAATGTACATAGTTTTCATTCTATAATGTGGATTAAGTCATTACCAAATTATTTATTCTTTGTTTTTTGTTTGTTTGTTTGTTTTTTAATGTAACTAAGCATTGTATATCATCAGATATTTGGAATAAATACACTATTATAAAATATCAAAATCCCAGTATCCTGGGTGTTTTTTTCTGTCTGAGACAAGTAGTATTCATTACAGTAGCTCTAGTGGGTACTTCATAAATGTTGCTGACTAGGGATATTAGTTAAGAGGTTTTTCTTTTCTCTTTGGTTGCAAATAAATCAAAGAATATTCAACTCCCTCAAACAAGCAAAACAAAAAAAAATCTGGATAACTTGAGAAAAAGTAACATTGATTATCAGCAGGTTCCTGTGACCATTTTAAAAAACAAAAGAGAGGTTTGCATAAGCAAAACCCTCAAAAGGGTAGATAGAGGGCAGCCCCAGGGATCCCAGCAACTGAGGTTCACAGATTTTTTCCAAACTATTATCATTCATGTGATTCAATACTGATGACTACAGTTGGTATCTCTCTAGTACAAATTCCCCAGAAGAAAGGATCCAACTGGCCCAGCTGATACCAGATTATATACTCCTGGACCAATCAGTCATAGTCAGAGGCAGACTTACCTAACCTAAACACAGCCCCTGTGAGCCTACCTGGCGGTTTCTGAGAGCCTCCTCAGGGTTACTCACAGAGAAAGCAGAATCATGGGTTAGACAACTCCAGAAAGTTACATCTGCCACTGGGAGATGTAATTGAATTCTTTTAAGTAAATGGCACAGGAAATCCATGAAACCAGCAGCTCCCAATTCCAGGAACAAGAAGAAACATTTAACTTTCTGATGCTCTCACCTGAACACAAAATTGAGACTTGGACTTTGATGTTGGCATTTCTGACTTGCGATCTTCAGGAAGGGTCTTAGATAGGTGTAGTTACCTATCTATTCCTTAATATTCTACAATGGGAAGACTTTATCTGGGAATTTCCCATTCTAAGGGGTCCATCTCCAAAGTAATAAGGAAGAATCACTTTTACTCATTCAAAAGACAAAATTCTAATAATGGATTTACTTGCAATAAGACTGGACAATAAGTAAAAAGTCAAATTTCTTTTATTTGGGGCCAAAATTATCAGCACAGTGGAGGATCAGCTAAGAATTAGATATCCTTATTGGTGTTACACATGAGCGTGTTTGATAAAATGGAAACACTATCTTATTTATCTTGGTATATTGAGCAACTGGCATAGTACCTGACACAAGGGAATTAAATTATTAATTTTGTCTAGTTTGAAAATGAAATTCCTATTAACACATATTCAATGGTACTCTGTCAACAAAAAAATAAAAGGACCCTTGAAAGTGAGAAATTGAAACCACCCACTTAAAAAGATAAAATAGTATAATCATTCCTCTTAATCAAGAAATGAGAGTTGTACTTTACTAAAACTTACTAAAAAGGAAATCAACAGATTAAAGATTCATTCGCTGAACTGACACTCTTAAAGCTCCTATGAGGTACCAGGGATTTACCTAGTTGTAGGTATACGAGGACCCTGAAGAGCATATGGTCTCCTTGGACAAACGGACATAAAAATCAGCAATTATGAGATAATATCAGTGACACAATAAACGGAGTGATTGATGAAGAAATAGAATTGCTAAAACTCATATTTTCTCTGGCATCAGCAGAGTCCCTAAGCACGCAGTCCCCTCTGACCATCTGCTCACAAAAGGGTGACATTTTTATTCTCCGAGTCTCTGGCAAGTGTAGACAGCCTGCTCGCTGCAGGAATGCCTCTGAAATTCAACATCATCATCTCTCCTTCACTAAAGGTGATTCCCCCTTCTCTCCCTTCCACAGATAAACAAAAAAACAAGGGAAGAGGCTTCATTCCCTTATATAATATGGGTGAAAAGGAGACGCCCCCAGGCCCACTGCCTTATAGCACTCCTAAGTCATACCTTTCAGCAGCCTGTACCTCAAAAATAGACGAAGGTGTTTAAGCAGCTCTTCATATCATTTTACATTGTCTGCAAGGTGGGTCTAATGAGGGGAATGCCCCCAAAGTAGCTTTTGAACTTCTTGTCCTCATCACACAAACATTATTTCATGACAGCGAACTGTCAGTGAAAGCATACACAGTTCCCAGAGAAACCATTGTCATTTCTATCAAGAAATGTACGTATAAGAGAGTATTATACAAATCAGCCACTTTCTCCACTTACTTATGAGCACAGTGGAGTAGAATGAGTTTATGAAAGGAGAGTTAGGGTGTCTGGGATTTATTTCCAGCTTTACAACTGATTCACTATTCTTACCCCCTTTGCATTGAAGTCTCCCATTTGTAACACACAAATAATGATGTAATACCTGATTCTTTCTAAGGCACTTGAAAATCCTTTGATGGAAGATTTCACACAAACGCAGAGACTATTGTGTTATACCAGGAAGACTTGAAAATTGTAAATCCGTGTACTGATCACTATTAAACAGTCAACCTAATAATGATGGATGACAAAGCACCCTTCCCTAAGGTATCTAAAATCAAGTATTACTGAATATGCAGCTATCGAGAAAAATATATGTAGAGATACATTCATTTCAAAGACTATCCAAATCTACATCATTGATAACACATTAAGATAAATCCTTTGCAAGTTATCCTGACTCCCAAAAAATGCATGGAATCCCTAATCACAGATATTCCTTATAAAGCAGAGCTCTCTGAAAAGACATTCTTTCTCCTTTCAAAAGCTTTGCTGTTTCTAGAATTTCAAAGAGCATTCAAGCCCATTCCCCTAAGGTTGCTCCAAAACATAAAAATAATTCGCCCTCAATCTAGTCAATCTTGGAATAATCAAACAACCAAACTTACAGTACAGTGGTGAACAGGCATCCAAGCAGGAGCTTCCACTGAACAATTCTGGGCCGGGCATTTGCCTTGGTTTTGCTGCAAATAAGGAAACATATTGTTATGTTCTAGATATTATATGCTGTAATACATACACTAGCTGATATGCTGATCATCAATATGTTTATTTCCTTATCTCCAAGTAGAGGACAGGACTTTGGGAATGGCTGTTTGGCGCAGTGCTGCAGGAAAGTAGGGGTGTAATTTCTACTCTTATCCAGGCATACGAAATTATCCTTTGCTTTTTGTATCACTCTAAGGACTAACTCGGCACCAGGCTTCTTCAGCAGCTGGCTTTTCAAGCCCCAACAAGAACCCGCTGAGAACTCTTCTAACCCAGAAACAGAACTAGTCTCCTCTCCTCCAGGCTCCCAGACAACACTCATACACGCTGCACCCCTGAGAGATCACTTGAGTCAAAGTATAGAAAGACTTGTTTATTTCTCTCCCCTTCCAGGTTGTGAACTCATGATGATGCTTCTCTCTAGGGCATTGCCTAAGGCCCCAGAATGTAGAGTTGTGCAGAATAGAGCCTAGAGGCCTTCTTGTCACATCAGAAACTGAGATGCAAAGAAATGAAACAAGAAGCACAGGGTTTTGACATTCTAAGCCATTTGCTAGGCACTTCCTTTTACATAAGGATTTGATCTCTAGCTAACCTATTCTTTTGTTGTAACTCTTATACATTCACTTCTAATTGGCCTTTTAAAAAGAATGAAGTCCTTCCTTTTAACCAACAATACTGCTCTCTCCCTGTAATAACAAGAACTCATTAGTGCTAAAAGGGGAGGAGGTGTTTCTGATAAAACATCTTTCATCCTTATTTTAGTGCATACTCTATTACAATATAGACATACTCATACTAATATTAATAATCATAAAAACCACAGCTGTGATTCATTCAGCTACTAAATATGTTAGAGATTTTTCTGGACCCATTATATGATCACTAGTTGCCATCACAAATATCATTATAAGTATTATTATGGCCGTTCTACAGGACAGAAAACTGAGGCTCAGATAGAGTAAGCCCCTTGCTTGAAATTTACCCTCCAAGGAAGCAGCATAGCTGGGATTGCAGCGAGAATCTGGCTGACCCTTCTGCCTACACATGTTCCTTCTATGAGAGGCCACCTCTGGTATTTTTCATTTTCTGTTTAATAGGGCTTAAGACATGTCATCAACTAATATGATTTCATCATATCAATGATCCTAACATTTCTGACTTAACTGGAATAAAATACTGAATTCAACATTTGTGCCAAGAATTCTTTTTCATTTGTAAGCTTTTCGTGCAACCTTTATTTAGGTAATCTATTATTAAAGCATCGCTAAACTCTGAAGTGCTGTTTGAGTGATTATTGATAAAGTCACTACAAAAATATACTTATATCATCAATCTCCATGCTCAGTTTTCTTGTTTAAATTAAAATATGACATACAGTGCCAACAGGGTACATAAGGTACACTTGGACTGGTGTCAGATGACCACAATTTTAAGCTAAGCTCAACGGTGTGCTTGCTGCCATGAAATACTCTTGGTCTTGGTAATCACATCTCTAAAGTATATGTTGCCTAATTCACAGGAATGTTATTAGGTAATAGATACCAATTCACCTTAGATCACTATCACAATTTGTAAGGAAGCTACCAATGAGACCACACAAAATAACAGGACAATTTTATTTACCTTTTCTGACAGCCTAAGCCCAATAAATAAATATTTATCTACATGTAAGGTTAAGCTTTTTGTATTTGAAAATATTAAAATGCTAGTTATTATATCTAATTATGAGAATTCATACCAAATAATGTTAATGGTAAGGAATGTCTCCTTTGTAATAATTCATAATTGTCACTATTATTAGTAATAATAGCCTTATTTTATATCTACACAGTAGACATCTTTATGGAGCACATAGTAAAGAGGCAAAATTCAATAAATGAGCAGTGTTTTGGTGGAGGAATATAAGTGTTCATAAAATGTGATGAGGCCATAAATGAGGAGTGTTGTAACGTCTATGAATGCATAGCATGGAGTAAAGAAAGATCAACATCTGTGTGAGTCTGTCTCTTTCTCCATCATTACCAAAGTTTTGGACACTAAGGCCATCCCAATAGTGTTTTAATCAAGCAGATTAGTACTATGATTACACAAGGGCAGACACATAAAAACGCCTACTGATGACAGATGCCATGGGAACATAAATTATTTTTTAATCCGTAGTGTGTGACTAGAAAAAAAATAAATAACATGGGAATAGAAGTTAGGATCTAGAATTTTAGTTGTGCTCCCATTAATCTATTGGTGGAATTAGGATGCCTCCAAATCAATTTCATAGATTTATAGATTAGATATATAATTTATAGATTAGCTATAATGTGTATATACATAGACATATAATATGTGTATATGTATACACACATACATATATTTTGTGTATACATGTGTGTATAAATGATTATATTTGGGCAAATAAAGGTTTTTGTCCAATTAATTTTCTTATTTGACATAAAGATATGTAATTTCAGAATAAGTTGTTAAAGTGAAGGAGGAAGGGCCGGCCAAGTGGCGCGTT